GGCAGCAATATAACAGCTAACATTAACAGTGCAGTGAATCCTGCTTGTGCCGTGATATTCAGGACTGCAAACCGAGCAGCATCACTGACTTTCAGCTTGTTGTGTTTGTGGATATATGACTGACTTTAATTATCCACAAAATCATCACATTCTCTGTAAGATTAAGGTCGACTACTGAATGGTGTATCTTTTGAAGTAAAGGCTTTGAAACCAAGTAAACGCTGAAAGTACAAACATCACTAATGTCACATAACTTTGCTGACATGTGGCCAACAGTAATGTTTTAATGTTCTTCATTATTAAACATTTGCACATAAATACGTGACATATTATTCAGTACTTTTAAAAGTTTACTCTTCGTCCGCCTCTCTTCCGCCGAAATTATCCACACCCACCGCCGTGCTATTCATTATGGGATATGTTGGGCCACGAAGTCTACACCGCCACATCCTTAAAATTCAGGGAAATGAAGGACGCATTTGAGGGCCGCATTTCAAGCAGCCTTCGAATTGGGACAGCCTTTGTCACGTCGCTGTGACGTAATCGGGCTTAAAATGCGGCCTTTAAGGCTGCAGACCCTGAATTGGGATACAGCCTATATGGCGCTCCCCAGTTGCTGCAGCCAGGTTCTCTTGGGAGGAGTGGGTGGGTATTTTTTTCCTAAATTTTTTTTTTAGGAGAAAAACCCAGACAGTACATTGTAACTATAGTTACACTCCAATGTGTTGCCTGCATCGGAGGCGGACGCACCTGAGTGGCATCCGTAATCAAGCCTTGCCGGCTTAAAGTCCGTGCCCTCTCTGCTGTTGTGTTGTGTGTGTCGAGTAGTGATGTGCGATACCACTGATTTCCTTTCCGATCCGATACCAAGTAATATTCAGGGTGGCATCGATGATACTGATCTGATATCGATACTTTGTACAAAAACTTTTTTATTTATTGTATCTCAAATTATAGCATCATAATTATTACAGGACATCAGATTACTTGTTCTTATCACTTAATAAAGCAGAGTTCATCACATAGAAATAAAAAAAACTTATTTGAACACCTTGCCTAGCAGCACCTGTCCCTCTCCTCCTCTTCAGTTTGCCTCAACATACGCTCGTCATATTCTGTGATATGATTTACTTTGAGGTGTTTGACAAGGTTACCGACGGATGTCGCGCTAAACAACAGCAGCACGTTTAAGCTTGATCAGCTGTTGTTAGAATTAGAAGGGGCGGGTCTAGCAAAGTGTTGCCAGGGGCCCAGGTAGGGCATTAACAGGGAGAACGGGGCACAAAGAAATACTTTTCTTTCTTATTCTCATTTAAAATGTCTCGCTGTTATTAAATAATTATCTGAATCTTACAACCAAAGTTTTTATCTGATGTAAAATGTATAGAAATCATACATATACCAACAAGACTGTACATCACTGTCACAACAGCGTTTGTTTTCATTCTGACGCTTTATGGCTTTAATACCTGGGGGGGCGGTCTTTAGTCAAAATGCCCGGGCTGTTTTTTGTCCCAGTCCAGCCCTGGGCACGACACGCAGTGAATTAATCTGAGAAGGTGCATCAAAAAATAAATGGCCGC